GTCGGCAGTTGTTCGCTTTGGTTGGTTCTCTTGGAGTTGGTATGGTTGAGGGAGGGGACCCGGAGCCCAAAACTCTATAAGGTTCGGGTTGCGGCTCACTTACAAAACCCTGTAATAAGTGGGTTTAGGGGAAGAATCCCCCACATCCGTATAAGCCCTCTTGCAGGGTTCATGGCGCGCAGTGGTCAGGGCTTAACCTTTGCCTCTCCCTCAACCCCATTGACCATAACCCGAAATCCTATAGACCTTGAACTCTAAACTCTAAAACCTGAAATGCAAAGCCCAAGCCCTTCACAAGGTTGGAAAGCCGGCCGCCTCAGCCTTGCACCGCCGCCGGGTGGGGTGAGTGGGGGTGGTACTTGAAGGTTCATGGTACTTATTAACCAATTTTAACTTATGTCTGTACTTATATCTGTACTCATAACCATATTAGAGCACTTAAAGGGCTTATGAGTGGGTTATAAGTACAGTGAGAATTGGTTGCTAAGTACCATGAACCTCCAAGTAGTGGAATTTTAGGGCTTTATCTAGCAACCGCGCCAGGCATGCACAGTGCCGAGTTCAGACATACCCAAAAACAACTCAAGAAACAACTTAATTCCTGAACACCGCAGCTTGGAGGTGTCGGTGGATGAGCTTTCTGGAATCTCGAACATCGCTGCTTTCTGTGCAGGGAGCCTCTGCGTTTGTGGGTTCTTTCGGGTTTAGGGTTTTGAGGTTTTGGGGTTTCGGGGTTTTGGGTTTTTTTCTGGCAGGTTTGGGGTTGTTGAAGGCAGCCCTGGGGTTTGGGGACTCAGTGAAGACTGTAGCCGATTTAGGTTTCAGGGCCCCTGCAACAACGGATTCCAAAACACAGGAAGAGACGAGAGACTGCGGAAAGCTCAGCCTACTGCGCTGAGATCATTTGAAAGGGCCTCAAAACCTAAATCCCTAAACCCCTGATCCCTGAAAGCTCCCGAATTCCCCCCCCACCCCGCCCGCAGGCGAAGCTCTAAGCCAACCCTTTGCTTTAGGGGTTGCGTCGCGTCCGCGCGCAACTTTAGGGATATAAGGAGGGTAATATCGAAAACCTTCATAAAGAGACGAGGCTAGAGAATGGCTCCTGGGATGAGGGCCCTTTCTACGGGGTCCACTTCTATCTTTCCTATCCCATGAACCCGAAACTCCCGCATCACCTTCAACTACACCCTTCTAGGCGATATACTTTGTTGGGCTTTTCAGCCGGCCTAAACCCAAAACCCTAAACCCTAAACCCTAAACCCTAAACCTTAAACCCTAAACCCTAAACCCTAAACCCTAAACCCTAAACCCTAAACCCTACACCCTAAACCCTAAACCCTAAACCCTAAACCCTCAAGGCCAGGATAAATAGAAATTGTAGGTGTTTCATTACGAGCAGCTCGTGCAATAACCCTTCATCCTTCACGATGCAAAAATGTTAGACGGGCTCCCCAAAACCCCCCCCCCACAGCCCCCCCCTCCAGCCCCTCCAGCCCCTCCAGCCCCTCCAGCCCCTCCAGCCCCAGCCCCCAGCCCCCCCTCCAGCCCCCTCCAGCCCCTCCAGCCCCTCCAACCCCCAGCCCCTCCACTCCCCTCCCCCTCCCCTCCTCACCTCCAGCCCCACCCCACCCAGCCCCCCCAACTCCCCTACTGCCAGCCCCCCTCAGAAACCCGACAAAACCCAAACTACTTTTGCAAAGGCAAAAAACAAAACCCGACAAAACCCTACAAAACCCCCCAAAACTCCGGACACGAACCCTATACAATTTCTATAAACCCTAGACCCTAAACCCTAAACCCTCAACCCTAAACCCTAAACCCTAAACTCCCTAAACCCTAAACCCCAAAACCCTAAGGCGGGCTTTGATAGCAGAACCTTGCAGTGCAAACTTGCCCAAGGCAGCTGGCAATGTCGAGTATGATGAGAAGACGGAGAGGCCCTGGGTTTAGCATCCCTAAACCCAAAACCCTAAACCCTAAACCCTTACTCCCTAAACCCTAAACCCCTAAACCCCCTTATGGGCCATACCTGGGTCCAAGTCAACCTTCAGCACTACTTAAACCCCTCATGCTTCGGAGGCGGGGTGGCTCATCGTGGCCTCTCATGTTTGGGGGCTCTGACCCGCCAACTTGTAGGATTAGGGTTTAGGGTTTAGGGTGGTGTTGCACGGGGGTCGACCTTAGGGGCCTGAACACTCAAACTGAAAGCCCAACGGTGTATACGGGGGTCTGAGGGCCTATGGATTTCGCGGTTCTATGGCTTGATACTCCCTTCACTTGCTCATAGCGTGGAGACTGCGCACCTCTCAGGCAGTGCATTGTACGCGCCTCGTGTTGTGCTTGAACTCACGCGCACGTGCTTGCGATTCTTCGTAGCGCAGTGGAGACGCCATGGTTTAAAGTTAGGGTTTAGGATTTAGTATAGTGCCTTTGGAGGTTCCAGGCTCCAGGGCCCGTGTGTAGTACAAAGAACGATTCCATGCCTTGGGCCCTCCTCAGAACCGTGGCGAGGACTTCAACTCAAACCCCAAGCCCTACGCTTGAAACCCAGAATCAACCCAACACCCTAAGTTAAGCCTACACGGGTTTCACAGGGCTTCAGGGTCTTGGACTTGCTTGGTTGCTTCAGGGCTTCGCGGTTGAACTTTAACTTTCCAGGCCGTAACGAAGCCGCAGTTGATTTTCCGAAATGCCCGGGCGTTTGTAGTTTTCACGGTTGCGGGCTTCAGACTCTTGATTGGCTTCAGGGTTGACAACGAAGCTAGTTGAGCCCTCAAAAGTTTTTCAGGGTGTCCAGTGTTTGCATTTGGGCCTGGACTATCAAACATACGCCTGTAGCAATGTCCCTAGACTTAGACCCTAAGTTAAGTTGTTTCCCACTATGTGTTGGGGGCATCAGGCTTCCAGCTGCAGAGGGTTTTCGCATGGACAGGATGATCGCAAGTCGTTCAAACCCTAAACCCGGGGCAGGCAGCTAGTTATTGTTGATCCCTCAAGACCTGCAATTTCCGCCGCAAACCCTATGCCAGACCTCAACCTTAAGCGCCCTTAAACCCTCCCCAACACGGTGCAGAAGCTGATATACTTGTTGCAAACCCTGCGCCTCGAGCCCAAAAGCTCCTTAACCCGTGGTTTAGAATGGTTTCCACCCATTAAGCTTTGCGCATGATGCTTTCTCCATCAGACCCTGGGTGTACGGTTGTGGCAATTGATCGGGTCCATGGTTTGAGGTGTGTGGTCTTGGTCACTAGTAAGGGGCTTCGTTCAATTTCGGGGTTTGCAAGTTTTGAGCCTTTAGGGGATTCTGTCTTTGGGGGTTCGTTCAATATTTTGGGGGTTGCAAGTTTGAGCCTTTCGGGGATTTGGTTTTTGGGGTTTCAAGGGTTTTGTGGGAACTGTACAGGAACGTAAGGCTTCAGTCTGTTCTGGGGGGGGGGGGGGGGGTAGTGGTTAACAAAGTTCCAGGGGGTCGGAGTCAGTTGCGTGAGGTATTTTCTGGACCAGTAGCAGGGTTTGTTGGGTTGAGGTTCCCTCTTTGTGCAGGGATCGGGGACTGACTATGCAACTATTGTGTTGGCCTGTACTGCTCTTCATGTCAGACATTAGTGGCACGTGGAACGAACTTATTGCAGCACACCGCACTTGCATGTTTCGCAATCATCATGATCATGGGGTGCCGCGATCTCTGGACTACGGACGACGAGAAGTGTGTGGGATGATGTTAAAAGCCAAAGACGGTCGGCGACTCCCCGGGCGCATGACAACCATTTGCCTGTTTGTTTGGTGGCCGCGATCTGCAGGACGTGCAACGACATGATGAATGAAAATTAATGATTGAACATGACACGCCCGCTGTTGGAGGTTTGCACGCCGCCATGAAGCATGTTTTAACTGTACATGTACCGAGGTCCCTATCGGCAGCATAAACGGACCCCAAAAAAACTACCGCTTCGTTAACTGCGCAGGGTTGGTGTTTAGAAGTTTGGGGTCGTGTTTTGAAGTGCCCGCGATGATGTTGAAACCGAAACTGTTTGCGACATGATCATGATGTGTTCCCTGCACGCTGACGCCCAAAACCAACTTGCCCGAGTCAGGGTTTAAGGGTTTAGGGTTAAAGGGTTTAGGGTTTAGGCTTACTAGGGTCTAGGTTTAGGGTTTGGTCAATGCTCCCTGTCGCAGTCTTGGGCGAAGAACGTGAGTTCGATGAGAAGGCAGCGCATTGACGGTTTAACTGACCGTGGTCTAAGTTCAATTGGAGTGACAGGGTGCTGTTGCGGTGTTAGTCTTGCGTGGGTGGGTGGGGCCGATGCTTTGAGGCCCTAAGCCCCAAACCCCAAACCCCAAATCCCAAACCCTCAACCCTAAATTTTTGGCGTGTTAAGTTTATAGGGGGGCTTAGGTAAATCGATCAGCCCTACACCCACCTGCTAATATGCTCAGGCGTTTTTCGTTGAAGGTACATCCTTACTTGGCCAACAGTCGGAGTTCAAACTTGTGTAGTTCGGCATCCCTGGTTGGGGAAATAGGTTACTGGCCTTTCGGGCTTGGAGCCTAAAGGTTAGGCGCGCAGGATGACGAAGGTGCAGAAGGTCAGCTGGGCATAGGATTTGCTTGTTGGGGGAGGGGCCTTCTTGGAAACCAAGTTGAAACCACGCCGGAGTTGTAGATTGCGAGAGCCCCCCAAGTGAGTCCAGCTAGCCAAAAGACTGCAGCCTAAGCCTACACCCCTCACGCTAGTCTTTAATCCTTGTTGTACTCACGTGGCCAGACCGAAGTGGGCGAGAGACCTGACCGCGAAGTCCTTTCGCGCACTGAGGCACGTTTGTTGCTTGTTTCACATCCTGCTCTCTGCGGCTGCAGCAACTGACAGCTATAGTGCTTCATGCTTGACACTGAAAGAGTGTGTCGTGATTGCACTGGGTCACTGAGTGCAAATGGAGCAGAAGAGTGGGCTCAGAGGCAGCCCGCCTGGCTTTTTTCCGAGATTGGCCCTGTGAGCCATGCCGCCCAGAGCCAAGAAGCAAGCCCCGGGCCCCGACGTGCCAGCTGCTTTGGCAGAACATCCCACGGCCGCTTGCCAGTTACAGTCGCACATGCCACGTCATTTCATGTCCGTTTGACATCTCCACAGTACAGTGCTGACGGTCCCAGGCTGTGCAGATGCGTGAGGTGTTGAAGACCTTGAAGGCTGAGCTTCAGAAGGTTTCCCAGCAAGAGCCGGTCGCCAGAGCTGGCGTTGCGGAGCTTGACGACGATCGGTACAGAGCCGTGATGAAGCGCGACGAGGAGTTTGAGTGCTGCGTTACCAGAACTCACTTCCCGGACATGCCGGCGACCCATGCCACGATCCTTCCGAGTTGGGGCAGCGTCAAGCGCCGCTCAGCGTGTTTTCTCGTTCTTCGGTTGTGTGTGTGGGTGTGTGTGTTGTGCGCTCGGCTGTCTCACAGGCCTTGCTCGGCAATTCTGGCACGATGGCACAAGCTGGACTGCAGGAGGCTTCGATTGCCTGCCCGTGCGTGCCACTTCTGCCAGCAGTCCGCCTCCGAAGGGAACGTACCAACTTTTGTCGTTGGATGCCTACTTGATGTCCTTCGACTTTGCATGGGCGCAGGCTGTCACTGAAGGCAATGCTTCCGTCCTGAACAAGTTTCGTGCAGCAGCCAAAAGCATCAAGATTTCTTTCGTGCTACTCCCAAAGGAAGTTGACTTTGAGTTGCACAAATGGGTGCTTTGGGAAAGAAATAGAAGAGTTTCTCGCGATTGGGGGCTGTGGGGAGGGGGAGGGGGGCGGGGGGGGGGTTGCGACCACATGGATTTTGTAAGGAGCAGTCCTCCAAAATTGACATGAAGTCGCAGAACCAGACTTTGACTGGCTGGAAAGTCGTCCTTGCCACTGTCGAGATCAGGAATACTTTAAGGCGGACGGGCGACGTGTTCAGCAAAGGCTCTGCGGCAGACTCCAATGTCAACATCTCCGCTTTCTTGCAGAAGGCAGGGCTGGCAGACGTCAGCCCGAAGGTTATCGGCTCCCGCTTGTGCCTCGCGCAGCACACAATGCTGTCCTGCAGATTTCGGGGACTCTGTTACTGCGTTTTGTCCATGAGTAAAGACTGAGGAAGATACATGCCCGCATGGGCTCGGCGGCGCTCGATGTGCTCGAGCATCTAGACGACGCTTACGGCCCGACCAAGCACCTCTTCTCGCAGATCTCCAATCTGGACGTGGCCTGCGCCCGAACAAATACCAAAGTGGCGTCTGTTTCGGATTCTTTGCTCACCTGGGTCCTCCATGGCTATGCGCACAGCTGCTCGGACGAATCTGGGGAAACCGAGGCTCGCGCAAGAGTGTTCGTAGAAGCTCGCTCTGTGAGGTCTAGATGTTGGTGAGATGAAGGTGACTGCGAAGATCTCGGTCTTGACGGTCGTGGGACGGGAATTGCTGAAAAAGCGGGTCTGTTCCTTCCTTGCGCAGTCTTTCAAGATGCCAGATGCCGCAGACAAGACGCAGTCTGGCTGAGACTTAAGATGATGCGCTGTGTTTTTTTGCAGGTATCTCGCAATCTCACAGGCAAACGGTGGTGCCGGTTTCCTTTTCGTTTGGCGTTCAGGTATGATGCTGGTCGGGCGCCCTCGACTGTGATTGCCAAGGCGCGGGGGTAGATTCTGGAGCAAGGGCGTGCGGTCATGTTTCTAGGGTTGAGTCTTCAGGTGACCTCATCTTACGACGCGTACATTCGCTCTGGCTTGGCTTTTCACGACAGCGACATGGAGTGGATGCTCCTGCTGCCAGATGCGCAGCACGGCATCCTCGACTTCATCGCGAAGCTCTTGAACTCCTCCCCCCTGCTGGTGGAAGAGATAGATGTTGCTGTTAAACACGATTTTCTCACGCCTGCGGAGACCTTCTTGAACCGCTCCAGGGTGAAGGAGATCTTCGACTTGGAGACGGCCCTGGCGATGAAGAGAGATCAGGAGACGCAGGCCGGGCGTATAGCGACATGTGGCTCCGCTTCTGAATCTGCAAGGGTTCCTTCCGCTTCAGGTTGTGGGAGGCATGACGGGTAAAGCGCGTCCGTGTAAGAGTAAAGGCCACTTCGCACGCTGAGCCGGCTAGAGCGGAGCCGCAAAGCAGCCTCGAGCAGACAGACGCGAGCACGGAGTTGACCCAGGATCCGCAGCCCGATGCCCCGGTTGCGGAGCCGGAGCCGGATGTTGGCAGCTTCTTTCCCAGCCTGTCCTTGTCGGGTGTCCAAGCTTCGACTCTGGGTAAGATCAGCTACGAGAGGCTCAAGACAGTGGTTGAGCAAGCGAAGATGCGAAGCTGGGCTCAATTTATTTATAAGTCATGGGCCGTAGCTTTATGTTCATGTTCTACCCTTTGTGACCTCTATATACTGCCCAGGTGTGAAAACGTATGTGACGATCAAGCTTCACGAGGAGTTCTTCGAAGCCCCACCTCCGGGTGAGGAAGAGAACCTGGCGAGGATGTATATTTGGGACGTGAAGAACCACTTGGTGAATGTCAGTCCACAGGCCCACTCGCAACCTTTCAAGTACTTTCCTCCCGTTGACACTTTGGCAAAGAGGGTGGCAGAGAAGCTCTTCGAGGAGGACGCGAACGAACAGCGCCTGTTCAGGGCCAAGGATGTGGCTCTTTTCTTCGACGGCCGCTTCTTGGGCGATGGCTTGAAAGGCCCCTTGGGGAAAATCCTGCGGCAAGTGCCTGCCTCCATCGCTGGTTCGAGGAAGATGATGGCTTCTTGGCTGGCAGGTAATTTTCGTTGAGGCCACTTGTTGCTGTCATGCAGGAAAATCCGGTACTGTTGACCTCTACACCCGCTGCTAAATACCCATGGGCTACACTAGTCAGTCCCTTGAGCGCCCGCGTGCGTGCCACCGTTCTTAGGAGCACCACTACTTCCACCACAACCGCGAGATGGAGTTCGGAGGCTATGCTGGTCCCAGCAGGGTCGTGGCAGCCATGAGCAGCCGCGTCGTCAGCCACTTGGAGACGGCTTTCGTCATTTCCGGGAAGGGCTACGCCACGGACCTGCGCGAGAGGCGCTTCATTGACCTGCCAGGGTCAAACAGGTCCCGGGGGTGGTCAGGCTGTTCGCTGAAAGAGGAGCACGAGCAAATCCGAGTGCCTTACAAGCTGAAGAAGGAGTTGGAGGCGCCGAAAGAATCCGTCCTGAAGAAGGACGTGCTGTCTTCCGAGGATCCGCAGGTTGGTCACGAGGACAGCGCGCTGACAACCGTCGCGGACGATGAGCCGTCGTGGCTTTGGAACTGGGGCCACAGCGAAAAGTTCTTCCGCGAGCTGTTCTTCGCCTTTGGGACGCCGAATACCGTGAGGGTTGTTTCCTGCACTCCCAGCTCGGCGGCTATGATGGCGGCGGCGCGGGACCGCTTCCGGTATCTCGGCTTCGCTCGCACGGCCAAGGTGAAGCAGATTCTTTTGGAGGATGCCTTCCTCCAGGTGACCTTGGCGATGGTGCGCGGGTCCGGCGACTTCGGCTTCATGCGCGTGCTAACGAGGGAAGAGTCTTTGGGTGGCACCGAGGCAGGTCAAGGTGATCAAGTCATGGCTGCTGCTGCCGCGGCTGCTGCTGCCCCGGCTGCTGGAGCCGCAGGCGAGGGCGGCGAGGATAACGGCCAAGCCAGGGGCGAGGGCGAGGAAGAGGGCGCCGAGGAGCGCGGCGGGGCCTTGGACGGCGATGACTTCGTGGATCCTGAGGCGTGAGGCCAGCCGGGAAGTGACGCATGCCGTTTTGCTGAACATTCCTGGGTCGCTCGTAGGTGAGAATTGGTCGAATATTAGTGCTAAAACTGGGTGCAACCTGACAGTGTTTTCCTGGAGGCCCGGGCCTGGGGATGTTCAGGAGCATCATGTCACGTTGTCATGCTTCTTTTCATTACGAGAACGTGTTTGAACCACGCAGCTTGGTGACTTCCAAGCTTCGCCACAACTTGGCAGAACATGCTGCGCACGTGTATGTGTGTGGAATAAACACTTTTGCGAGAGCGCGAGTTGTGGTCTTTTAAAGCTGGGCAAGCGCAACGCCAGAGCGCACGTCGCGCGTCAGGACGGAAGGGCAAACTGATCCGTGAGGCGGAAGCGGTGCTGAATCGCAACGTGTAAGATTTGACGTAGTTTCAAGACGAAGCCGCCTAGCGGAGATATGCGTCTGCCCACACACAGCTAGATTTTGCAACTCGGAGCAGGGCCGTGCCATCCAGCTGCCTTGCCCTTGCGCTCTTCTAATAAAGGCAATGGCTGCAAAGCTTCATGTTGGGGGGCCTCTGCAGTTTCTCAGGTAAGCCTGTGTCTGTGTGATGTTTTGCAAGGCAGAAGGCAGACAGAGCATTGCACCGGCATAGTGGCATAGCATCAGAGCGTATAGCATTCGTGTTTCGATTGAGGTGCTCTTGTCTTTTCCACAGCCCCTCCGCAGTTCCTTCTCGTGACTTCTGCGTTGCGGAGAAAAAAGAAGTTTGCCAATTGCGCGAAGCCACAACAATTGCCAGAGCATGTGGATTCTTGCTGCCGTCCCCCTGCTGGTGAGGCTTGGCGTGGCCGAGCCAGGCGAAAGGCAAGCTGCTCCCATCCTTTGTTTTCACGTGAAGGTGGTTTGGGGAAGTGCTATGTCAAGCGCAGACATGCTGTTCATGCAAAACCATGGGCAGCCTGTGTGTAATGGTCGAATGTTGTTCATGCGGAAACGATGTCGTGCCTGCGAAGGCGAGGTGGAGCAGCTCGGCCTCGGGAGGCGCCGCCGGCGCAGTTTCAGTGCACATCTCGTGCAAGGTTGGAGATCCAACGCTAGGCTTGTGTGGAATGAGTCATGGTGCGTCGGAAGACAGTTGTACTGCTTGCGCTTTCAGTTCACAGTGTTGGCGTAGGAAGCTTGAAGCTGCAAATGTGCTTGTGCGACTTGTGTTGCAGCTCTTCATCCATCAGCGTGTGTTGGAGTCTAGGCTAGCCCAAGACAAACTCACCACTGGAGAACTGTCAGTCCACGTCGTTCTGTGAAACACCCGGTTGATCACGTACTATTGAAATTCCTACTTCTCGTTGCATGAGGAGGGCGTCAATTTGAGATTGTTCACAAGTACTCGCGTATCTGAGATGGTTTCGGAAGCTGCCTGTGGGAGCGGTGGCGCGAGCGCGCCCACGGACGTAGTCGTGACTCCGAAGAAGGGCAAGGTTTTGAGGGACAAATGAAGAGGCGATTAGGTCATGCTTGCGTCAGCTTTTTGCCGCAGGCTGCTGCGCGGGAGCCGTCTTCGACAGAGAAAGAGGGCAAGTCTTCACACCGCCAAAATGGAAACCTGCAAGGGAATGCCTGGGCCTTGCTAACGCACGGTGCAACTTTGCCCAGAGACGATGATGCTTCTCACGCAGCTCAGTGCTTGGCGGAGAGGGGGAGCGCGTCTAAGCAGCAACCATCAGTCGCTGCGGCGCATGTCGTTCGACTCGTTCCTTGTCGTGCGCAAGCGTGCCTAAGGTTTCGGCCATGCTTGCCTCATGTAACAGATGCCGGTGGATGAAGCACAGGGCGACCTGGAGAGCCCGGTGCTGCTACAGCCTTCCAGACGGGGGCACGATGCCGTGGCTAGATGCCAACGGCCCGGGGCAAGCCTTCGGACTTCACTGCGCGGCTTGTCGACGCTTCTGTCCGAAATCTTTGTCCCCTTATGTGGTGGGCACCAAGGGCGCGCTGAAGCAGCTTTCCTAGCATGCAATCAGAACATGGTTGACAAGGATCAGTAAGCAGTGACTCTGCCCGAGTTGAGCAGATTGCTGCGGTGTGACTGAGGGCCAATGGAAAAGCGACCCTGCAAATAGCCGACTTGCTGGATCACGGGACAACTCCCGCGCACTTGGCTGCAGTGCAAGACCTGGTGTCGCCGTCAGGCGGAACGGCTCCCGAGGAAGAGCAGGCCGAGGGCGCGGGTCTTCCCACCCTGGCACAGTTCAAGCTTAGCCGAGAGTTGGCAAATGAGCCACATACATCCCAAGGCTCGGAGCAACTCACCTTGAGCAGATTGCATTCCTTCGAGGGCAGTGGAGCTGAGAGAGACGTGTTGTGTGCCGCGGTTGAGTCTACGTGTGCTGAGGTACGCAAGACGCTGCGCTCTCGCTGGGCGGACGGACAAGAAGAATTTTCCATGCGGTCGCGCCAGCAAGCATCAACATTGGAAGAATCTCAGCTCAATGTCGGCGCAGGCATTCCTCGAGGACATGGAGGCAATCAAATCCAAGAAGGTGGAGGCCATTGGCTGGGCAGAAGACGATTGCGATGGGATGAAGATCGTGCGTGTAAGGATGGTTTACACAAATCTGACGGTGAAAACCAGGCTGTTAGATTTGAAGCCGAGTGCATCGAAATACGCGGTGCATAAGATGGAGGCTGCAAAGGCTAGCGTTCTGCAAGCCATGAACAACGACCAAGCTGTTGCCAAGCTTTTCTGCAGCAAGGTCAAGGCCAGTGCTTGCGCTTGTCCCTCCATCTCGGTTTCTTGGTCGTCGAGCTACTAAGACGTATGTGCGTCAGAACATTGGCCAGGCATGGACCACTGACGGAGAGCCAGCTGAACTGGCTGCTGGCTCGATATGCCATTCCTTGTTTCCAGGGCTTACAGGCGTTTACCGCTGTTGTCTACATTCAGGTCAAAAATCGCTTGAAGCTTCGTTGCAGAGCGACCCCCTCGTTGAAAGCCTTCTTTCCCTGCTGGTCACGCGCCTGTCGGACAATTCCGGCTTAGGCTCCCTTGCCAGGGCGCTGCACAGGTCCCCGAAGCTAAAAGCAAAGCTGAAGGAGATTGAGTTGCGGGATTTGGACCACCTTGCCGAACTCACGCAGCTTGGCAGACAGTGTTCGGCCGCAGCAGCGTGTCAGGAGGCTTCGCGCGTTCGATTCTGCTTGTCAGGCAGGCTTCCAGAACGCTGGCCTTTGCTCAGCAACGCTTTTCAACGATCACGGATGTTTTTCGGTTGATTACCCTCCGGGCCAACAGCATTATATGGTTCCTGGCAGAGATTAAAGCAGAGGAAGGCGCCCACAAGGAGTGGGCATCCAGGCTTTTGACTGAGGCCGCTTTGCCCATGCATGTGTGTTACGTGGACATAGGATCTGCAAAATCTTAAGATTGGCAAATTCAATTCAAAATTGCCGACCAAAAGAACACAGGTCATGACTGTCGACAACCTCATATTGGCCGCGCTCGTGTCGGAGTTCACGGCGACGGCGACGGCGTACATCAAAAAATTCGACAATCTAGGCAGAGACCACAGCGGAGCTCCGCAGCGAAATGTCGTGAGCCATGTGGCCTTTGTGTCGCGCAGTCTGCGCGTGCTGAGACAGGAGCAAGCCTGCTTGGTTTGCTTCCGGCCTGAGCTTGTCAGTCATGTCATGCTGCTTGCAGGATCTGAAGCGATTATTCGACTTTGACGGATGTCGTCAACCCCTCGTTCTCGAGAGCGGGTACTCCCGCGGCTTTGTGAACATGCTGCGCCAGAGCCTCCTGAAACGAAGCTGGGACGTTGATAGCCTTACATAGCATTACGTTTCATGATGTCGAATGCGAAATGAACTCTGCAATCGTTGCGGGCAGGCTCTTCCGATGGTGGTTATGCCATCACCAGCGGGAGAGGGGGCCTTCTGTACTACGGGCAAGGCAAGTTCTCATGCAACACCCATTCTGCAAACTTCATTGGAATGTTGCACGCAGCTTCCCACCCCTTGCGTGGAGGCCTCACTGACAAAGAGTTCAGGGAGAAGGTCTGTGCTCAACTTGGAAGCGTGAAAAACATCGTCAAGGTGTTTCTGGAGGCCATCGCGTGTGAGCACGAGATTGGCATCGGTGAAAGCTTCAGTTGCCTCGATGTCGAGTCAGCACGTGGAGCGACCAGGCGCTTTTGCAGCATCCTTGAGCCCGACTTCAATCAGCCACGAGTTCGCTCTGCATTCGCCTGCAGGCCGGCCACTGTGGAACCTCTCGCAAAAATGCTGAGATCAACAGCTGCGCTCTCAGCACATCCTGCTGCCAAGCTTTTCGTTTTCACCAACATTTCGTTTTTTGTTGCTGCAGGGCGACGTCCTCGCAAGGGAGATCGATTTCGCTCGGCCGACTTGCCAAGCGCTTATCAGGACAGGTGTGGCGGTCCTTTGTGAAAAGACTGTCAAATGGACATTTTTGAATCTTTTTGAACATGCGTACTGAGCATGCCGATCCCCACCTCCAGATTGCAGCACTCAGATCTCACAAAGTCCATGGCTCCAGGGGTTTTAAGGATTTGAGGCTTGCCTGCGGTTCAGGATGTAGCGTTGCAGGCCGCGTGGGTTGCAGCCAGCAGAAGATCAAGCGATTGAATTTTTTTCGTAGCTGTAGATGTGGGGCTTGAGGCAGTAAAGAGTACGTTCTGGTGAGGCTTTTGTGCACTTTTAAACGCGCCAATCCCGGAGTCGTCCCTTAGCCCAAGTAGACGCATTTCTTCCAGGAGTGGCTTGGAAAATCCGCTCGACTACTGGCGCGAGACTATGGGGCACTGGGGAAACCGGCTTCCCGTTCTGCGGGAGTGTGCGCCATGTCGTGCACACAGTGTTGTTGCACTTGTGACTTGAAGTCTCAGGGATCTCGCCCAGAGTTTGGCTCCTTTCCTTCTTCTTGGCACACTCATTCCATTTCGTCCGTCGCCGCTTGTCTTGTCGCAGAACATTCGTCTGCCGTCTTTTCTTACGGTCTTGTCAGTAGAGGATGCTCCGAGGCAGGTCCTGTTTGTCAGGCCAGATAACGCAGTACATTACGCATTATCATTCTACAGTGTTTGCTTTGGGTTTTCAGCCCGCGAGACAAAAAAACGCGATGCAGAAACGTGCTCTCGGATATCCGCAGAGCTCACGCGGCGGCGGCGGTGGCCGAATATTCTTGGGTGCAAGGCATATTAACTCCACAGGCGCTGCGCAAGTAATTGGGGCGAAGGACTCTTGACAGTCAAAAACCAAATTCAGGCTATGACGCCTGGAAATATTTTCAGCGTGCAAGAAGACTTGTTGACCAGGAGGCTGAGTGCAAACGTAGGGTAGTCAGTTTGATGCTCCAGGCGCGGGGCCAAGCTTCAGCGCAGGAGGTAGGGCAGGTAGGGTACGCCCATTCAGCTTCGGAGATAGTTAACCAAACTGTTGAAACCTCAAGTATTGAAACCCGCTCGGTGCAACAAACCCAAGACTGCTGCAACGTGCAGGTCTCCCAGACCTATACGAAACGAGCTCCCTCACGAAGCATCCGGAAAATCTCTTGGGCGATTATGTGGACAGAGTAGTTTCGTAGCAGTACAGGCCACGCGATGTCTTGCTGTACTATGCCTCTCTTGTTCTCTTGTCTCTCGGTCGCTCTGTCTCGCTGTGACTCTCTGTGTCTCTCGGTCGGGTGTTTCTGTTTGTTTCGCTGTCTGTCTGTCTGACTGTCTGTCCGTCTGTCTGTCTCTCTGTCTGTCCCTCTCTCTCTTTCTCTCTGTCTATCTGTCTGACTGTGTCTCTCTCTCTCTCTCTCTTGTTTTTTTTTTTTCTCTCTCTCGCTCTCTCTCTCTCTCTCTCTCTCTCTCTCTCTCTCTCTCTCTCTCTCTCTCTCTCTCTCTCTCTCTCTCTCTCTCTCTTTCTCTCTCTTTCTCACTTTCTCTTCAGCTGAGGCAGAGTGAGTGCGTCCAAGTGGGCGGTTGGGTTTTGAGACAAGGTGTAGGGTTGAGGGTTGAGGTGTATTCAGGCTTGATTGTAAACCCTCGCCCACGTGCTTTGTGCAAGTGTTTAGCAGGTGTTTGCGGTTTACGCGCTCTGGCACTGCGGACCATCCAAGCGAGACGCATGCAAAGGGTACAAATTAGCAGCGTCAATTAATAATGCAAGCGCTGGACCGCTTTCGGGCCTGCCTCGCCAGCATATTATATACTGATATACATTCAGAGACAGAGACAGAGAAAGAGACAGAGACAGAGAGGAGAGAGAGGTGAGAGAGGTGAGAGAGGTGAGAGAGGTGAGAGAGGTGAGAGAGGTGAGAGAGGTGAGAGAGGGGAGAGAGGTGAGAGAGGTGAGAGAGAGGACAAAGAGGAGAAAGAGAAAGAGAAGAGAGACAGAGAAGAGAGAAAGAGAAGAGAGAAAGAGAAGAGAGAAAGAGAAGAGAGAAAGAAGACCGGGAGAAGAGAGAGGAGGGATAGAGAGTGTGTAGAGAGAAAGAGAGAGAGAGAGCTGAATGTAGCCCTTTTGAAGTGACCCCGCAAGCTTGGGAAGGATTGGACTTTAAGTTTTAAGTTGGACTTGGTAGGGAATGGAGAACAAAACTCAGCCCATTGCGCGTGCAAGAACATTCTGGATGCCTTGAATCCCGCCAGCCAATATTGAAAAACCCCAAACTCCAACTCAAAAGCGACAACCGCAAATGGCTAGCTAGCTGCTCTAGCTATACTATGCGACTTTCTGGTGACCCTTGTTTTGCAGCAACGTTTCAGGAAGGGGTGGTCTGAAGTCGTGTACCATCGGTGCATGAGACAATTCAATACAAACAAACTGCGCCAGAACCACAGCTGCAGCACCGCAGCACACCGCCCAATCCCACCCCCCAATTCCACTCAAATTCTCGAAGTAAGCCAAGCTGCAATCCCACCCCAAAGTCATAACGTACTCTGCTACCGAGGTGATCCTGATGTTGTGCGTTTTCGAATCCACTGGGATTTTGGAGCAGAATTTGGCCGCATATCGTGCTGTCTCTTCTGGACAACGACAGAACTCAACTCCGGCTACTTTGAAGACAATTTTGAAGGTGTTGCTCGACGTGGACGACGTTGTCAAATTCAACGACCGGGATCAGACATACAGTCTCACGAAATTCGGGATGGATGCTTTCAACTTGTACCGCACAATGTTCGGGGCTGGCAAGAATGTGGCCCAGCACAACCTGCCTCAGCGCACGACCCGGCGCTTCTTGTCCGCGACCGGGCTTGCTGCGTTTACGCGATTGCAATCGGAGCAGAAGAAGACCACGACGGCCGCCGTAGTTTCCGAGGATGAAGCAAGGCACTTGAAGCGCCTTGTTGAAGAGTCTACAGACCTGCGCGCCACAAAGAAGCAGAGGACCATGTCAGAAATGCTGGCCAACAAAGTTGCAACTAAGGTTAGCCTGTTGTCTCCTGATGCATTTGCTGCAGATGGGAGAGCAAAGCTGGAGAAGCTCTTAGCAGAAGAGAAAAGTCGGGTTTCCAAGCTCAGTGATATGCAGGTTCGAGATCTTGATTCCTCGGAACCAATGGATGCCAGCGGTGGCGTGGCCGTGTGTGTGATCTCAAAAGGTGAGGTGAGCAACGCTAACGACATCATAAAGGCATGTGCGAAACAGCTTCATCGGCTTGGAGGCCTCAAAGTTCTCCACCTTACTTCCAGCAACTTAGTGGCGCGCATTCTTGAAGCGAAGTTCGTGGTTTGGGTGGCTACGTCAAAGGAAGCGGAAGCATCTCTCATTGTGCAGGGGAAGGAGTGCCAAACAGGCCCCTTGGATGTAAGCTCGATCCTTTGTAGGCTTCTGGGGGGCTACGTGGCCGGACCTGCGTGGCTTCAGAAATCTTCATCCAGAGGACGCCTCCTGAAACCCGTTTTGCAGCTCACCGCCTCCGCCAACACAGAGCTTCAGGTCGGTTTTGATGCGACAGTTCCGACCCGCGAAACCATCTTGAGGCTCCTTGCGGCCATCGAATCGCACCCCAAGGGCTACCGCAAATGGGTTATCAGGGCAAACCGAAGCGATCTGCCGCGGGCTTAGTTGTTCGGACAGCTGAGACCTTGAGAGCCGTTGCTTGCAATCTTGCGGGTCCTAGGTCAAAAAAAGCAGCGTGGTGGGTGGTGGGGGACAAGTTCAAGTCCCCGCCAAAAGAAGAAGAGAAAGATCCTGGCAAAATCGTGCAGTACCTTCATTTCTTGCATATGGTTACTAAGACACTTGTCTATGACTTTGGTTGCTCTCTGGTGGCTGTGATGGTCGACTTGCCCATCTATTCAAAAGCGAAGTGTCCGAGGTGGTGCTGACTGGTGACGGGCACGGGGCTTTGACATGGCCACGCAAAGTCTGTGCACACTTGGCACACATACTGGCAATCAGCAACATGGTGCCCAATATGTTTTCGACTCTAGATATTCGGCGGGTATTGTGTGCCTGGGGCGGGCCATGTCAGCGATTGTTCACGGGGAGAAGGGGGTAGCGAGTCGAAAATTGTCCAGCGTCGCTGCTCGAGAATGTCTTTGTGAAATCATGTCCCATGTTCTTTGACCACCAAACTTTTCACAGCACTGATCCTGCCAGGTTGCAGCGCGCTGGCACCGACGAGCCCAGCTCCGCCAGCAAAAGGGTTTTGTGCAGCGCCCCCCCAAATCCCAAGCCTGCCTACAACAGCTACCCTGCTCTTTTAGGAGCTGCCCTGCAGTGTCATCTTAAAACCAGGAAGACAAGCCAAAACAGAAAAAAGGGCACCCTTATCCTTTGGGCTCCACAGGGCCACCTAGCTTAAACTTAAACCCTAAACCATTAAATATCTTAACCCTATAGGGTTTTAAGGTTAAAGGCTTAGCGTTAATTGCCGGAATCGGTTTAAATGCCTAAATCTTTATCCCGAAACCTTTAACCTTAGCCCAACAGGGTTTAAACGTTAAGGGTTTAAAATTAATTGAAGTCTGAGATTTACATGCTTAAATCTTAAATCCTAAACCTTTAAAATCTTAACCCTACAGGGTTTAAAGGTTAAGGGCTTGGCTACAGGTTTCAATGGCTAAATCTTAAACCCGAAGCCTTTAAACCTTAGCCCTACTAAGGGCTTAGGGTTTAATTGCCGGCATAGGTTCAAATGCCTACATCTTAAACCCTTAACCTTGAAACCTCAACCCTACAGGGTTTAAAGGTTAAGGGTTTTTTTGCAGGCTTAGGTTTAAATGCCTAAGTCTTAAATTATAAACAAAAGCCAACAGAAAGAAAAACCATCCGTGTGTGTGAGAGAGTGAATTAAGGAATACAGTCAAAAACCCGGTCACCGGAAAATCACCAGACAGCATAGGTTTTATCGGTATTTGCGGTACTTTTGCAAAGATCAAGGCCCGCGGTGGGTCCATTGGGGGGGGGGGGGGGACCATATATATATATATATACATGTTCATACTTCTGCGATTATATATTATCAATTCATAGACGTATTCATACTTACATTCCAATTTCTATTTGAAGGCTACCTGTGTTATGCATACGTATCTATTTGTCGTGAGAATATGTATATTACATATATTCTCCAGTATTGCTATTGAGTCTGTCTCATGGCAGTTAACTGGCTTGAGAGTCTTTCGGAGTTAGGCACCTAACCCCCTAAACCGCAACAAAACTCCCAAGCCCCCAAAACCCCTAAACCCCTAAACCCCTAACCCCTAAACCCTGAAACCAGAACCCTAAACCCTTCCTGAACCTTAAACTTAGGCCCAAGACTTGAACCCTTGACAAAAAAAGCAGCGGCCTTAAACCGACTTTGGTTGACTGTGGCATCTTTGCTACAGGCAAAGTCTTAAGTGCCTCCCCCCCCCTCCCTCCCTCCCCCGCATGTGCACCCACAATTGCGCAAGTCTCACCGAACCGCAACCTCAACCGCAACCCTCACCTCCCCCACCACCGAAGTCGCCAAACCAACGCAAGCAGATGGAAAGCTTTCGGGTTTGGGGTGTAGAGTGGTTTATCATACACCAAGCCGTAAACCTTAAACGCTAACCCTAAAACCTAAACATCTAAGCCAACAGCCCCTAAACCCGAAACCCTCTAACCCTAAACCCTAAACCCTAAACCCTAAATAACCGGTGTGCCCAATGGATATGCAGGCGATTCAAGCATCTTGACGACGCGGCTCAGCTTCCCTTGAGGAAGGAGTCCATAATGGGAACCTATGGGGTTTAAGGTTTAGGGTTTAGGGTTTGGGGTTTAGGGTTTAGGGTGTAGGGTTTAGGGTTTAGGGTGACACTATCCCCACCCGAGCTACGCTGAACCCAACATTTGGGTAGGGAGTCGACGGGCGGGGTAGTTTTGGAGGCGACATTCTTAGTAGTAGAGTAGGTAACCTTTAACTTTTTTGGGTATTCTAACCCAAAAAGATCCCCAAGGTTAACCTGTAATTCCCCCAGGTTACTGGACAACTAAGTATTCGAGGAAGCGAGGAGTTTGGCACTTAGGGCTTTGGGTCAAGCTTTCTGCCACGAAGTATACGTACCTGTAGCGCCTTGCAGCGGATTCTAACCAACAGCCTAAACCTAAACCCTGAACCCTGAACCCTAAACCCTAAACCCTAAACCCTAAACCCTAAACCCTAAACCCTAAACCCACACTTTCCATAGCCTAAGGACAAAAGTCATGACATGGACCTCATCGAATTCGCGTCGGCCTTCGAGGACGAGCCCGGATCATGAATTGGATTCTTTAAGTAGAGCAGGGTTTAGGGTTTAGGGTTTAGGGTTTAGGGTTTAGGGTTTAGGGCTCAAAGTTTAGGGTTTAGGGTTTAGGATTTTTGGTTTAGGGTTTAGGGTTCAAAATTCAAAGCCCTAAGCCCTCAACGAGGCCCCTCAACCTTAAGACCTGAAGTGTTTGGCTTGTGTGTGGTGTTTCCAGAGGCTCAAAGACTTCATTATCTCTTGGCTGGGGTATAGTTATCCCGCAACCCTGAACCCCAATAAACCCTAAACTTTAAACCCTATGCACCCTGAACCCTAGAAAACCTACACCCTATAAACCCTGTGCCCTAAACACACTCAAATAGGTATTGAACCCCAATGAGCCCTAAACCCTATAAACCCTGAACCCTAGAAACCCTAAACCCTATAAACCCTGTGCCCTAGACCCCAGAAATCCTAAACACCCGAACTCAAGCACCTAAACCCTGTGCTGCAAACCCTATAAACCACATGCCCTAAATATCCTAAACCCTAGAGCCCAAGCCCTAAACCCGCAACCCTAAACTCTAAACCCTAAACCCTAAACCCTAAACCCTAAACCCTAAACCCTAAACCCTAAACCCCCAGTCCTGTGCCAGGAGCTTGGCTTGGTTCTCAGCGAGTCAGAGCTGCAGCAGCTCTGGCGGCATGCCGACCGCCCCTGGAGCCCAAAGTGGAGAGTTCAGGGTTTAGGGTTTAGGGTTTAGGGTTTAGGGTTAGTAGGGTTTTGGATTTGGGGAGTACGGCGTTTTAGTGGGGTTTAGGCTTAGGGCTTTGAGTTTAGGATTCAGGGGTTGAGGGTTGTTGGTCATAGGGCTTGTAGGGTCAGCGTTTATACGGGTTCATAGGGGTTTGGGTTCACAGGGCTTCGAGTTTATGGGGTTTGATTCTTGGATTTTGTTTGTTCAGTCACTTCTCTGCCTAAACCCCTCAGCCTTTTCGTCTGGAGGGCCCGGGGTCCCCGAAACCCTAAACCCTAAGCCCTGAACCCTGAACCCTGAAGACTTCTGAGGGACCGTGCCATTGAACCCATAGACTAGAACAGACGACCGAGACTATAGGCTTGCCTTTGTCTTCGTCTAGGGAACCAGACCAGGGTTTAGGGTTTACGGTTTCGGGTTTAGGGTTTAAGGGCTTTCATGGGCTTCTCTACCCCCTCGATTTGTACGTATCCCTCCCCTAGGTTTTTCCCTTAAATAACCTGAATTAGGCTTAGTTGTCCCGAAATAGCCGTAATTATGGGTGTAGCCTAGGTGGGTAAGCCCTAAACCCTAAACCCCAAATCAGCATAGAGCATAGAGAGGGGTAGTAGGGGAACTCATGCGGTTTACGGTTTGGGGTTCATAGGGTTTAGGGTTGTTAGGCTGACCCTAAGCCTGTGAGTAGGGGCGGCGACTGTTTTTCTTGGCCCACAATTCTGAATGAAACAAGGTTTAGGGTTTCGGGTTTAGGGTTTCGGGTTTAGGGTTTAGGGTTTCGGGTTTCGGGTTTAGGGTTTAGGGTTTCGGGTTTCGGGTTTAGGGTTTAGTGTTTATAGTAATATTTTTTGCGAGTGTGTAAGGTTCTGTTGCTTGGGTCCCATGGAGCATTGGCGTGATTGAAGGGATATGAAACTGCATCACTTCGACTTTTTGCACCACAATGCCGAGACAGATGCAAGCAAGATGCGCCAGCACACGGTTCCAGCCCAAGCAGCGGTGATTCACCGGAGACCATGTACGTGTACTTCGGCAACGAGCGCCTGCATGCGTTCCCATTAAGGCACCGGCGGTTCCTGGACCTTCCTGGCACAAATCGGTCGCGGGGCTGGATGAACTTGTCCCTGCGCTCCGCCAACTCCATCGATCTCAACAGGATCACGCGCAAGAAACCAAAGAGCACATCCTAGGACCGGGCGTAGGCCCTTTTTTTGTAGGGTTGGGGTTCCCTTATAATCCCTTTAAAACCAAAAAGGGCACCCTTTTTATTCCTAGGTTCCTAGGTTACTCCCGGGTCTAGCATCTTTGGCAAGATCTCATTCGCAGGGCATGTTCTAAGAGTCTCAGGATTTTGGCAGGGCCCCAAACCCCAAGTTAAGACCCCAAGCCATCTACTCATTCTGCCTGAGCCCCTAGAAGCAAAAGCCAGGGTTAGGGCCTTAGGGTTTAAAGGCTTAGGGTCTATGAAGGTAATCCCCTAAAGCCCAGACCCTAAACCCTAAATCCCGAACCCTAAACCCTGAACCCTAAACCCCAAACCCCAAACCTTAAACCCTAAACCCTAAACCCGAGGTTCAGGGTTTAGAGCTCCAGGGCTTGCCACTCCCACAAGGAA